CCCCCCCCCCCCCTCCTCTCTCTCTCTCTCTCTCTCTCTCTCTCTCAGGAAGCAATTTTTAGAGTAGTTGCCGCAATTCTTCATCTTGGAAATATTGAGTTTACCAAGGGTACGGAAGTTGATTCGTCAGTTCCAAAAGATGATCCAGCCAAGTTCCATCTCAAAATGACTGCAGAGCTTCTCATGTATTTATGCTTTCATGATATTGCCCTTGTAATGTGTATTCCAGTTTGTTTTTCTTTCATATTGTAATATTTGTGATAATAACATAATCTCAGGTGTGATGTTGACGCATTGGAAGACGCATTATGCAAGCGTGTCATGATCACACCAGAAGAAGTTATCAAGAGAAGTCTTGATCCTCAAAGTGCAGCCATTAGCCGTGATGGTTTAGCAAAGACAATATATTCTCGATTGTTTGACTGGTTAGTCACTAGTGTTTAAAACAACATTTTCATATTTACATCTGGTTCATGAACAAGTATCCTAATTACCAGGAGAAGCAAATTGTAGAGTGAGAAATAAAATGCTGATGTGATCCTAAGCTACTTGTATTTATACAGGTTGGTGGACAAAATTAATGTCTCAATTGGACAAGATGCTACCTCGAAATCTCTGATTGGGGTCCTTGACATCTATGGTTTTGAAAGTTTTAAGACCAATAGGTAACAACTAATGAACATAATACCATACATAGAGTACATGGATGTCCCTATATGTGTACATTCTATGGTAGTTTTGAGCAGTTCTCCCCTTATGGGTTGGCATTATTTTGCAACTTAATTTCAGCATATCGTCCTGTGCAGTTTTGAGCAGTTCTGCATTAACTTCACAAATGAGAAATTACAGCAACATTTCAATCAGGTAATGCCTCAGATTATTATCTTTAGCTTTCTCTAATGTTTATATTCTAGATTACTATTATTATTGTTATTATTTGAAAATTACGTTTTCCCTGTACATTTTCAGCACGTCTTCAAGATGGAACAAGAAGAATACACAAAAGAGCAGATTAATTGGAGCTACATTGAATTTGTCGATAATCAAGATGTCCTGGATCTTATTGAAAAGGTTATTCCTATTCTTAGAATCAGTTTCAGTGTTTAGTTCATTATCATATCTAAACTGGACGGTAATTCATTAAAAGAACCTGCTTGCCAAGGCTGTCTGGTCAGAAGTTTATTTATAGGCATTGATGGACAGATAGAATAACATGTTGGTTTTCAATGTTCTTGTAGTCAATAATAAATTTTAATCT